TAGCTGTGGGTGATGGAAGTGCCCTGACCCCGTTATATTAAAGAAGGGGATTTTTACATAATTATGAGAGTCTGTGTGTAAATGTGTGATTTATTAAACAGATGGCATCAGTTTAAGAAAAAAAGAAGCACAAAGCGTTACTTGGAGTGTTTCATTAACTTTTGCAGAGATCTGTGGTTTAATTTCATCAGTTTTTATTCAGATGGACTCCTATTTGCATATTTTGATTTCCATCCATCAGTCCATTTTCTTCCGCTTATCCAGTTCAGGGTCACAGGGGATAGAGAGGGCTGGAGTCTATCCTAGCTGCCGCAGGGTGACAGGCGGGGTTCATCGTGGACAGGTCACCTGCTTGTCACATGGCTAAGACAGAGAGACAGACAATCATTCACTCACCCACACTATGGCAAATTCATAATCACCAATTAACCTAACCCCATGCATATCATTGGACTGTGGGAGGAACCCGGAGCAGCCGAACAAACCAATACAGACACAAGGAGAAGATGCCGACTCCACACAGAAAGGCCAGATGGTGGATTTGACCCAAGGAATTTCTTGCTGTGAGGCAACGGTGCTAACCACGGCGCCGCCATGCTGCCCCCATATTAAAATATCAAAATCTCCATGACATGACATGGATATTTGGATTCAAGCAGCAAATTCACTTAGGAGAAAAGACTATATTATTGTACTGTGTGCTTTCCTGATCGTATAAAATAAACTGCCACTAATAAATAGTTTTATCTTTGAAATACAGATTATACATTTGGTATAAAAACCAGCTATGGCCCCCTAACCATATTTCATCCTCTAATCTCGTACACACCAAAAACAATCACTGCGGACATGGACACGCTACCCACATGTGCACTCAAGTGATTTAGTAAAGCATTGCTCTATTTTGGGTCCAGTATGGCGAGGGCTTTTCTCTAATAAGAAGACTAGTTGCACATATACATGCACGGTTGCCTTTATTTTCATTTTCAGCCTGTGGAATTTGTTACTCTCTTACTGATTATTATGAGTCCTGTGTCTTAAAACACAATTATGAGGAAGAAGTCACATGTCTTGTTATTTTTTGGTCTTTTTTTATTTCTTTTGCCACAGACATATTGCCACAATCATGCAATGCAACTAGCAACAGTAGTCCTCCATCTGCTCTGGAGATCTGCTGCAAGCATGCACCAACCAAAGCCTGTAGCAAGTGGAGCATATGTCTAATAGTTAGTTAACTTGTTTAAGATGGTGAAGTTGGAGTCACCCATGGACGAGTAGCTGGTTATTGATTTGTTACTTGTAAGTCAAGTTATAAGTTATGAAAGGATGGATGCAGTCCCTTTTTTTTCCCCCCTTTCCAAACACACCACAAGGACATCCCAGATACAGTGGGTTCATTTATGCCTGCTCCACTGGTGGCATCGCTGTTATGCACCAAAGCTCTGCACCATGAATACCAGCACTGCACACAGAACCTCCACATCAGCACTGGTGTAGGAGAAGAAGCCAAAATCCAGAACAAAGAAATCAGAATTCTTCAGTTTTTCCATGAAACTATTGAAACATTTCCCTGAATATAATCTGTGTCAGGTTGATATATCATTGAAATGGCAGAAAAATCTGACACAATCATACAGCTGCCTTGCAAGTATGGCTTGCGCCAGCGATGTGACATTGTTATCCAGGCCATAATTTTGTGGAAGATGCCAACATTTCTCATGAGTTTGAAGTCACTCTTAAAGACACTTTCTTCTATTCAGAGGCAGACTCATTCTCTGTCTTGCAGAGATAGCAGTGTTTGGATAGAGCGTTGCTCATTTGGACAGAAAGCAGACATGCAAACACAAGCTTCTCTGTAAACACACAGAAAAGATACACACACATCAAACACACACATTTGATTACACATTCATTTCCTTGTGAAAGAACACTTTAGTTTTACAATACATGGCTACATTGGAGAGTTGTAATTCACACTGTTCCTCAGCCTCGCTTCCTCCACTTGATACAGCGATTTCTTTAGTATTGAAGCCTTTCCCATTCCTTCTGCCTTCTGCAGCTGCCGTTAGTCGAGCCATCTGTAGACGATTTTCAGTGTAATGAATTTTCTTCATATAGAAGAAAAGCATTTGCTTGTTGGTGGCATCCATCCATCTGTTCATCTGGATTCAAACCCAAGAACTTCTTATTGTGAGGCAATGGTGCTAAACACCACACCACTGTGCTGCCTCCTTACAATAACATGAAATCCTAAACTGGAAATATAATATAAAGTCTGTCACTTTATTACATTTAAAAACCCAGTTGTTTAGAAGCACTGTGAGCAAACAGTATCTTGTGAAATTAATAACATTTGCTTTTATTTTCATTTTCTTCCTAATTCCCTCCCTTTTTCTTAAGAAAAGGGAGTTCACCTGACTAAACCCAGTACTATTCCTCAGTGACTCAGTCATGTGGCACCCCTGTAGTTCATTTATACACCTTGAAGTTATTATTGTGAATGCTAGCTAGCTGGAGGACTCGTACTGTATCTCCTGAGCCTTCCTCTGCTCTCATTCTCGTGCCCTGTTCCAGTACAGATGGTGCTCAGACTGAGCCAAAGCAGATTAGTCTGAGAAGAGTCACACCCTGACCAGAATTAGTCACAAGGTTCTCGCAGCTGACATCTTTTTTTGCTCTGGGATGTTTTAAATTTTCACTGCTCTACTTTCCTTATTCACAGATATGAATATTCCTTTGACACGATCAGCTGCCGGCTTACAAATGTGGCACTGGGATCATGCATGACCCAGTACAATCACGGGGTCCTGCTGCATCATGAGAACTAGAGCTAACACAGCGAGTGTAGTCACATTTCCATGGTGATCTGTCCAGCTGTCTGACCTAGTGGAGGAACATCTGCAGTGAAGTCACTCTCGGGCAAAAGACGCAGCGAGTGACAGGCAGCTCTGTGGGAATTTTGGCAGAAGTTCTTTGGAGAAGTTTAACCGCTGACAACAGAGAGAAGATATAGAGCAATGTTCACGTCTGGAGATGAAGCAGCCAACAATCCAGTCACTGATTTTCTGATTCCAAGGATCTTTTTGGAATAAGAAATTGGTCAAAGAATACTTGGAAAATATTTCTCAGTGCTTGTTTAAGCTTTCTTGAATTAAAATGTATCAGCTTAATAATTACAGCTTCCCGAGTTAAAGTCCTCTTAACACGCTGTACACGCTGGCATTGTTTAGTGAGTTGGGATGCACCAAACAATCTTACATTACAATGCAATCAGATTACTTAGATGCCTTTTGGCTTTGCTGGTGTAGGAATCTAGTAATGATAAAACTACAATGACATCATAGACTGTATATGAAAGATGGACATGGGGTGATATTTTGTTAGTCTTCTGGTTGCCTAATGACAACTCCAGTGTGCAATAATGACAAAGCAGGTTACATTTTAGGGCATGGCTTGGGATTTACATGTCACCATTGTATGAGAAATCGGCTAAGTTTTCCAATCTTCGACTCACACAAAGTCAAGAAAATCTGAAATGGCATATTTTGACTTTGTGTGAAGATAAAGATCTTTGAGGAAATGGTGGAAAAAAGAGGAGACCAACTTTTGTATCCCATTTCAGTAAAAGTAACTCTAACCTGGTAGTGAAATTACAGAGCTTGGCTGCAGTGGGCATTACACAGGAGAGTGGTGTGGGTTCCTCTTCGCTGTTATTTTTTAATTGCCACAGTCTGTAGCAGTTTCAATCCAATTAATGAAGGAGGGGGAAGAAGTGTGCCTGGCCTCCAGCGGGGAGATTTACTGGCCACACACGGGCACGCACACATCATGCTTGTGGAAGACTTGATGCTTGCACTCGCTGTCTCGGCCTCTCTTTCTCTTTCCCCCCTCTTTTGTCTTTGCCGCTCCTCTGCACACAGACGTACACACGCCACACGGTACGTCTAATTTACAGGAGCTGCCACTGCACAGCATGTGTGTATTAGTTTTGCTTAATGCCTTCCAGATGCCCAAGCTCTATATCTCGTTGCCCATACGTACTGAAAGAACAGACGATTGTTCCTGGGGTCTTCCTACTAAAGAGAACCAGGTGTGGGGGAGACGGCCTGCACATTTGTGACAAAGGGAGAGCGTTGTGAGCGTTTGCTAAATAGGTTTTCATGTTATTCGGTGGGGAGGGGGGTTAGTCACCACACACATTGTGGCAGAGCCGTGCATGCATGCATACTGTGCAGCTATGATAATGATGGTTAGGATGGAAGCTCCTTCTCAAACTTTATCGGTTATGTCTGACAAACTCCAAAATGTTTCAAGACAAACGTTAGAAGGCTTGAAACAGACGACTTTTCTGTACATCAATTATCATTTTTATACATTTATCTTTTCAGTGGTCTCGGCAGCCGAAAGATGACACTTGGTGAGTGTAGCACACCTACACTCTCTGTCCACAGCTGTGGAATGCTTGGATTTCTAGAGCAACATTTCTCTCTGACCCCAGTGGATTAACCCACTAGGGGGCCCAGAAGTAAATATGAGCTGTAGACTGCCACTAGCCTCCTGCCCTCTATGGACTGTGTACTCAATCACCTTCAAGCACCCATCAAAACACAAAGCACACCAAATAACACATGGCAGCTTGATTATTTTGTCAAGGACTATGTGCCAGAAGCTGGAGTGTCTCATCTCTTATTATTTCCAGTGATGTTTGTGAGTGTTTTTGATCAGCGTTTGCATAAAAATGTTTAGAGAATGAATTTCAGTGTTGCGAGCTTTTGTGTGTGTTTGTATATAAACACAGTTATTTGCTCACAGATCTCTCTTACCTATATATGAAGTAATTAGACGCAGGTAGTGTTTCCGTGTTTGTCCTGGACTGAATTTCCTGACATCAGTTTGTGTTAATTCTTGTTTTGTTTTGGGGTTGTTGTTTTTTTGGATGAGTATTATATTTTTTCCCTCCTCTAACAAGATTCTTCCTCCTTTCTGCCCGTCTATTGCAGACCGCGGTCCTCGAGGAGCTTTGGACCTGACAGAGTTAATTGGCATTCCCCTCCCTCCCTCCGTCTCCTTCGTCACAGGCTTCGAGGGTTACCCCGCTTACAGCTTCGGCCCGGATGCCAACGTGGGGCGGCTTACAAAGTCATTCATCCCCGACCCGTTCTATCACGACTTTGCCATCACAGTCACAGCCAAACCAACCACCCGGCAAGGCGGCGTGCTGTTCGCCATCACCGATGCATATCAGAAAGTGAGGGCACTCTTCACCACATCTCTTCTTTGTTTTTTGCTCCCTTCCAGGAAAATATTAAAGCTTTTCTACATGTTTTATGTTCTTCAGATTGTACAATTAGGTGTGGCTTTGTCTGAAGTGGAGGATGGCTCCCAGAGAGTCGTACTGTACTACACCGACGCAGAAACAAGAGGCCGCACCCAGGAAGCTGCTTCATTCAAAATGGGTGACCTGACAGGAAGATGGGCGAGGTTTACACTCACTGTGCAGGGCTCAGAGGTGATTAAAGATGTTATGCTAATTATCTCTTGGTGTACTCCATGCTATGTTAAAGTGGGATTTGGCAACTTGATTTGTAACATAACCTTGCCTTGCTTTCTTTGTGGCCAAGCTATTTGAAACTGAGCTGTGTGACTGCTGTGCATCTGCGCTTCATTGCACTTTGTGGATAAATCCAATTCCTTTCTGCACATAGACACTATATATAAGGTAGATATACCTTCAAGGTCTGAGTCACAAGCATCTTAAACCTGCATTATTTCTTATGGCCAGCAGGGGGTGACTCATGTTTCTAAAACAAAGTCTGAGATATAAAAGTTTATGGAAAAATGATCAATCAGCATCTTTATCTGTGACCTCAGGAAACACTTTCCAGAGTTTGTGGTCTCAATCTATAGTTTAAAGTCCTGTTTTGTGTGTGATGCTCAAAAGAATGGATAAAGCGTGATATTCTTTAGGTCAGCCTACCTTGTGATTGGCAAGTTGCTACTGTATTGTCATATTTGGTTTTAAAACACCAACATGGCAACAGGCTGCTAAATAGTTTTCTCGTTTTCAGACCTTACATCTGAGTATTATGTCACAAAATTCAGACATACACTTACTGTGTGCCTAAATGCAAGGAATAAAGATGTTTGCACAGATCATCTGTTCCATACAATTACATTTTCCTTTTTTTTCTTATGGTTTTAAAGCTCAAGCATGTGCACTTGTCCCAACACGTAGGTGCGCCTCTACATGGACTGTGAGGAATACCACCGGGTTGCCTTCATCAGGAGTGCTCAGCCTCTGACCTTCGAGTCCAGCTCAGGGATCTTTGTAGGGAACGCCGGGGGTACGGGCCTGCAGAGGTTTGTGGTAAGTGTCGATGTGTGCGTGTTTGTGTCCCTTCTAGCCACGTGAGCGCTTCGGTACTTCCTACACTGTCTTTTGTCAGCTCTGTACAACAGCTGCATTTCTGCTGTGCTTATTCCTCATCCCAAGCGTCAGTGGGTTTGGATCAATGACTTTGAAATGAATATTGAATCCACAGCTAGTTGCAGAAACAAATGTGGTGTTTGGACAGTTGCCGACTTTACATCTGAGAATGAACACAATAGTCTTCGTTGGCAGCTTTACGACTGCCACGGGAGGCGAGGAATGAATGACCAAGTGTACTCATGAGCACTTCTTTGTCCTATGAGAGCTCCTAAATGACAGGCTGCTTACTTACATATGTGCACCAGGGCTAGTAGTCTCATTTTTGAATGATTTAAACTGAGTGCACCTGTGATTACGGCTGCCAATTCTTTCCCTATAAAGATGAGAAATCAAACAATAGTAAATATTAAAGGGTGGAGGCTAAAATCCCTCACGATAGTTAAAAATATCCCTGTGCATTTATAGCAAGTACGTGTTATCGAGAAGTGCTGAGAAATCAAATCCATGTGCAACGCTGGCCTGTGCAAGCAGTGCTCTATAAAAGAAAATAAACCAGTAAAAGCTTCAGCACTTTTGTCCCCATTATCTATGATTTGTTGTTTTGTAATTCGGCTTTGTTCATCACATTGCGACTGCAGATATGATGAAGAAAATAGCGTTTTTTGCATATCTATGGGGGAAATAGTTTGTATTAGTGTGGGTCAGAAAATATCTGTTATGTCATCAAGATATCTATCTAAAACATCTTCAGTGAACTGTCAGAATATTACATTTTAATAAGAAGAGACTCAAGTTCATTTTAGAAAACATGCCAACAGTACTTTTCCCGAATAAATCAACCCACGACCGGTGGCTGAACTAGAAAAGCACACGACCTGTGACTTTAAAAACAAAATATAGTCCTCGTCTTTGCCACTTTTTAACCTTTTGTTCTCGTGAATTCTTTTTTTATCCAAGTTCATGAGACGAACAGACTACAAGATGTTCCATTTCCACAACAGTGGAAAGAAATCCTTATCACAAAGCAGCTTTTGGGTTTTTGTTTTTTTGGGGGGGCTCTCTGTCATTAAGATTTTATTTGTGAAACGTGAGGAGAGTTTCAAAGAAATATAATGAGCCGGGGAGGCAGAGTGTGTTTATTCAGGAATTTTTTTGGTCTCTGAGGGGAGTTCATTTCACCGCTGAAACAATCTGTTAGGTTTCTCCTACCTATTGTGGTTTAAAACCAACGCTGACGTACGTACATAGATCACCAGGAGCTACAGTTTCATTTTAGATGTAAAGCAACCTCGCTCTAGCATCATTTCAAATCTTGTATATCTTGGTCTGTGTTTAATTTATGAATAATGATTTCCAGTAACCCTTTCAGGCTGTCAAAAGTACATAAAGTGATGTATTTAATAGAAGAGGACTTATATTGGTGTTATAGTAGCTTTAAGGGCAATGCAGGGTTATAGACCATTAGAAATGTAAGGTTTCTTTCCCCTGCAATTCAATTTCAGTGTCATTTTAATTGAGACTAAATTACTGCTGTTTTATCCCATGAGTCATAGCTGCAGGCATCCTGCCAAAGCCTTGTGGAAACAAAATATTTTTTGTAATATCCTGACTAAAAATGCCAGAGTAGCTGCATTACAACAACTTTTAGAAAGAGCAAAAAGTTCCTCTGCTTTCAGTGTTTCTTGTGCCACAATTCCATTGTACGTACAATTTCTATTCTATTCTGTTCTATTATTTTACCCAACTTAAGGCCACATACTGTACATCTACACTGTTTAATATCAGCATACTGGTTGCTAGCAAATTATAGTTACCCACATTTGAAGCTATTTCACTTTGTGATGTAGGACCATGATTAAAATATTGACAAAAGTCTTTCACGTTGGTCATTTTTCATCTGGGACAGCCTCGAATCACACGCTTACCTAAAGCTGAACTAGGATAAACAATGTAGTTTAACATCATTGTGACAAGTAGTAATGGCTGTATTCGAGGTTTCATGGAAGTGGAGAATTTGTTTTAAACATTTGCTCTCTGATTGAACTGTTGGATTGTTTGGGGAAGATGCGAGCAACTTTGCAACAATCAAAAAATGGCAAATTCACTGTAGCAGCTGCTTCTTAGGCTAAAACTCAATCGATTACAAAACACAGAAGTCTGAAATGAAGGCTTCTTTTAACCTTGAATATAATGCACAAACAACGCACAAATTTCCCCACCGTGCGATCAATCTTATCTTATCTTATCAGTATACTAAGGCTAAGACCTGCTAGCCAATCAGAACTTTGGCTAGCTACAAACTTTGTTGTTACCGTCATTGTTATAGCCCTGCTTGATGAACAGTCTGTGCCATGTGGGTTTTTGTTGTTGATATTTCTCAACTCTTTATTGCTGACTGTACAGCTCTCTGCAGGTACTCAGGCAATCTGTCTAAAAGCGCCTGATGTCAGATGGGGGCAGTATTGGAAATACAGAATGTGGTGCAACCATCTGTGAACTACTCTTGCTTTTGTTGTTGTGGTTCAATTAGCCAGCTGTGGATTGAAGTTGTAACATCCAAAAAAAAAGCTTAATTAACAGTGTTAAAAAGATGAAAAGTTTTTATTACAGCCACTGTCCATACTTTTCTTTTTTTCTGTTGTTGAGGTTTTTTCACTCTTTTTCTGTGTCAGGTGAACTTTCCTAACACTGCATTGCCTGTCTGGGCTCAACCAATCGGCATTAAATGAACGCAAAGCGTCATCCATGTTGAGCACTGTGCAGTTGGGATTTTGGTGCAATGCACAGGAGCATGATTGTGGTGGTTAAAACCCCTCTACATAGCCTCTCCATAAGCAAATACCTCAGCAAACGTACACGACTGCTGTAGCATAAATTAAGCATGAATAAATTAAGCCCTATGTAGCGTGTATAAAGCTGGATGATATCACCACTTGGGGCTCAGAGTTGTTCTTTCTCTTGCCAATAAACTCTTTCACTCCTTTCTTGGCTCTCTTCGTGCATCCTCTCCTCCCTCTTTCCTCATCTCTCAGAAAAAGAGGAGCAGAAGTAACTGTCTGTTTCCAGCTGTTCAACTTTCAAACTGATCCTCCTCCAAAACGATGCAGCAGCGGCTCTTTGCAGCACTGCACTACTCCACAGCGTTACATGAACACACAAAAACAAATAAATATCTTCGTCCTTGCTGAACCAGTTACTCATATGTTAAACTGGCTTCACTGAACCACAGGCCATGTAGGGCGCAACATAAAATGTGTGTTGGCCTTTAACACAGTAGTGCAAAGTGACCTTTTGGATGTCTTCTCACATGCTTTGGCCTGTGGCAGCCATAGTGTCCAGGGACTGCCAGTAACTGCAGGCACACAACAGTTTCTCATCTCTGGCATCTGAAAAGTCCAGTGTCTGTCTGTGAGCAATAACCAGACTTCAAAATATATATAAACAGCCCCGATGGCGCATGTCATGCAGCATGCGTGGCTATATAAACTAGAAGCTGATATGTTGCAAAATACTTCAGCTACTGTGAAGTTTTGAAGATACATCAGTAACAGTTTAACAAAAGAAGTCAAACAGACAATGTTTGCACTTTCTCATAGATGAGGAAGCATTAAGTGCAATGCCAACAGCTGCATGAAGTTATTTATCTCCATAGCAACTGATCAGACTTTTTCCACTGTGATTCACTCACAGATGCACTTCTATATTAATTTACAGTCAATAGACAGGGTATATTTATTTCTATTCACTTATAATTAAATATAAGAAGTCATCTTGTGATAAAGCGTAATAACAAAACGTTCAAACAAAAAAAAGCAGAAATACAGGTTTTAATGTTTGTATAACTAAGCAGCCAAGTGCACAACCACACTCCTGTTTATATAAACTTTTGTTGAAATCATCTGACTTTTGTGAATTTACTGTAGAAACCAGTTGAGGACTTGGCCTCCTTTCCATCGGTCATTTTCAATGCACCTGACCTCATTTACTAACATCTTCAGCTCACTTTTAGACTGATTTTGTTTACATTTTTAAGAAATGAAGTTGCTAGTACTGCTTTGTTATGCGGTGTACCATTAGCGATACTGACAGCTCTCGTGCGTGAAGGCTCTCTGGTGTGTTTTCTTGAATTTGTGCCAGGAATGATGTTTATTTACTGTTGTCTGTTTTGTTTCAAGGGTGACTTATGACAGAAATTTAACACTAGCTGACTATAAAGGTTTGAGCAGCACATGTTTATCCCAGACCTACAAACGTTCAGATGAGTCTGAGGTGACACCTGTGATGCTTAGTTGCTAGACCTGGATTAAAAGGAATGAAAGGCTAGGGCAATTAGACAATATATTAAGCAGACAGTATAAATGGTGCAGCTTTGCAGCATTTCTGGTTGGTTGGTTGGTTGGATGGCCAGTTGGTTGATTTGTTGGTGCACTGGTACTTAGGTTGGTTTTTCCACTGGTTCGTTTGTTTGTGGGTTTGTTGGTTGGTAGGTAAAGCTTGTTTTTTACACCATAATTATATGCTCTGCTACAAACAACTAACTGGTGCTCACCTGTTCGATGTGCTGTGTGTTCAGTTGTCGCTGCTACAGACAGCCGTGCGTGGTGGCGAGCATTTGAAAACTGCAACCAGAAACTTGCCAAGAAATTCTCCAACTGCTTTCCTGTGTTTATATTCACGTAATCAAAAAAGTTTTTTACAAACTAACCGACTACATCATTCATCCATGTGGCTGTGGCTTTAATGTAGGGGCAAATCCACATGTTATAGTCGTTTAAAGGAGGCGGAAAAGGTTGCGTGGCACATTCTTTGTTTGTTTCAGATGTGTTGTTTACTGCACCAAGCAGATGTCTCTGATTTGGTTCACTATCCCCAGCTCCAATCCACCCTTCCTTCTCCTTCCTCTCTGCTTCTCCCTATATCACTATTTCTCACTCCTTTGCCGCCATTAAATTTCATAGGCTGTCCTTCATTCCATTAAAAACAGCTGTTTGTCATCTGGCCTGATCCCAGTATCAACAAACTTGGCTGAAATTGCCTTTAGCAAGTATTTACAGATGCAATAAGAAGACAGGGCCACTGACTCTGATTTAAATGACCTTTTGTTATACTATGAGTGCACTGGTCCTTGACCGAGAACTAAATAAACCCACCTTTAACCACCTTTGATATGCTCCTTACATTGGTAGATAATGGCTTAGGATATTTGGCTTACTGTGTGATAACTTGTCAGAATTATGACATGTTTATCATCAGCTGCAATCACTGAACATGTGTGCGCCTTTATATTGTTCTCTAATTTCTGTTCATTCTAAAACTGCATTCCTTCCTTTATGAGTATTTACAAGTATTTACAGCAGACCTCACAAATGACACAATCTGAATAAAGCGTAATTTATCATCGTTTCCTAACAGCAGAAGAAAGCATGACACGTATCCTTCCCATGATAAAACAAAGACCGTTTGAGTTTCTGCCAGCATAAAACAACTATATGTGCTGACAGCTCTACAGTCCAGCGAGGGGCTTGGAGGGCATAAACATGTCACACATTACCTCCAAGGTTCTGCAAGGATGCCTTGCTGTCAGAGCGCCCCTTTACAAAATAAGAAACCAGGTGCAGCTATCTCTGTGTAAGTGTAAAACCATCCATTAAATAGTCATAACCTGCATTTTAAAATGATATAAAATGACAAAATTGGTCACCAAAAATTTCTTTCTAACCAAATTTAGTTCGGATTGGGAATGGGACCCTTCTCTAGAGGTTACCTTTCAGAGTCATCCCACATATTGGCTCAAGGTTACAGACAAGTATGGACTGTATACGAGAGACTTACCAAAATTCAATATTCATGAACTTCCAAAAAGAAACAGCCTTTTTTAGAATGAAAGGTTTAAATGTGCTGCATTATTTCACAACCTTCCAGTTTCCCTCTGTCGGCCTCCAGAGTATCCTGGGACACCCTCCAAGACTGTGGATGAGCTCACATACAGCAAAAGAAAAAAGTTGCCCAGTTAAAATAGCTCAGCTAATAACGCTGTTACATGTCTCTTCATGGGGCAGGTTCAATTCAGTTCAATTCAGTTCAATTCTCATCAAAATAACAATTTAGTTGCCTAAATGTGCTCAAGATCAATATATTATCATTAGTTGGGCAATAATTTAAGACATACGACAGCATTAGCTACACATGCTTATACTTCACAGGGCCACAGGGGTAGAGACTGGCTAGTCTTGGCGGAGTCATTCCCTACCTTGTTTCCACAGGCCTTTTAAATGTAAATCCATCATATAATACTTTCTGTGTTCTCCCTTTGTCTACATGGTTTCTCTCTGGGCACTCAAACTTCCTTCCTGGTGGAGCAATGGTTATCTGTCCCTCAGTGATAGCCCTGTCCAGGGTGTACCCTGCTTCTCGTCCTATCACAGCTGGGATAGTCTCCAGCCTCTCCTCCTCCTTGATTAAGACAAAGAAAATTGATGAGAGGATTATATAATTGTATAAATACAGAAAGGATTTGAAATAGCTGAATCTTCTGTGTTAATTTGCCACAAGTAAATATTAAAATTATGGGCTGGTGCTTTAAGGTTGATGGGAAAATTGTCTTTGGAGCAGATACAGAAATGCACCTGTTTCCCAGCCAGATGTTTGCAGCAGTGTTGAATGTGTGTGTTAATGTGTTCAGTGTGTATGCAGTAAATTATGCGTGCTAATGAGTGAATGAGAGACAGATAAACTGTTATGCAGACAGACCAAATTAGTGTGTGTGTGTTTGTGTGTGTGTGTGTGTGTGTGTGTGTGTGTGTGTGTGCGCGCGCGCAAAATGTCCTCGGAGCTTCTATAAAATTTAATGACAGAATGAATTAAATTAGCGTGCAATATAACACGAACTCTCCTCTCCAGGGCTCAATCCAGCAGCTGCTGTTGAAGGCAGATCCCACGGCCCCAGATGACCAGTGTGAGGAGGACGATCCTTATGTGAGTCTGCATGAAAACACTCGAAACTGAGAAAAGTTCAGCTCCTCAAACGTCTCTAAAACACTGCAAACTTGGAACTATGGCTCCCTCTGCTGGTAGACATACAGTACTGCATAAAATTCAATTCTGACGCCCGCATACATCATTTACATTTAAACATTTAAAAGCATAAACCATCATGAATCCATTCCACCTGCTTTGGTGCAAATGAAAGTGACAGCGGGTCAAAGCAGCTAGATTTTATGATCTTGGCCTACTGTCACACTATATATTTTTGACTGACAAAAAGTCATTTCACACATTTTTTTAATCATTTAGAGGTAAAACGTTAAATATGAAAATGTTCAAAATGTCATAAATTTACCTGTTTTGTAACTACAGTGGCGTTACAACATACAGGGATTAGTGTAATCATAAATACAAAGTCCAGCTTAATATGTGCTTGAAATTATTTAATTTGCTTGTAATTCCTCTTAAATCTTGGTGAGCTGCCCAGTTTGTCTTCTATTTGCTTGCCTTTAAAATCTTTAAAGAGCACTACATTTAAAGTAAATGTCTTAAATTACACGCATTATCAAGCCCACTACCGGCTATGGAGATAAATTTTCCTCAATAATATTGTCCTTTCTTGTGTTAGCAAGGTAACAAAATATACTGAGAAGGAATATGTGATCTTGTGAAACAGAGGTTATTTTTAGGAAAAGCAAAAAGAAAAAGTCATGACCTTTACAGGGTGCTGTAATATACAACATAAACAAGCTCTCTCTCTCTCTCTCACTCACACACACACACACACACACACACACACACACACACACACACAC